GGGTTTCCCGGTTTTCCGCAGACCTAGGCCACACGTTTGACTGTACGGTCTCCTCCAACATACAGGTGCAGTGTATATACAGTAATTTAAACATATGTGTCCTGGCAAACTTTTCTGGTTGTTTTAGAGCTTTTGCATACTGTGCGAGCCTTTGGTGCTTGCCTGAGTCAGTGGCTTAAAGTTATTAAGGTAGAGAGTTCAGCTTGCCCCGGAAAAGCATCGTCCATCAAGAAGACGGCAAGTGGAAAGTCAGACGTGCTCTTCTGCCTTGAACTCATGATGACCCCGGAATCGTGTTTTGAATCGTTTGGTTCTTATGCCCACCATCATCAATGTCATAATCTATCAGCGGCTGAAGTGAGATGTGCACCTGTTTGTGCTTCATCCTGATTGCACTTGAATTTTCCAGGCAGATTCCTGAGAACCACTATGTTGCTCGGTTTGCTTGTCACCGCTTTGTTTGTGTCAGTTGCATTACACTGAAACTGAATATTGCTGTGCATTTGTCAGATCCTTTTTCCTTCCGGACAAACTTGAATTGGGTATGCTGAAGACGCTTGGTGATCGTCATGCTTGTTGAGGTCCATGTCAAGATGCCAGAGCAGCCGCCCATTGTCCACACTGTGCAGGTCCAGGTGTGTCTGACCGTACTTTTGTCGCTTAAGTGCCAGTCATTGTCATCCTTGCAAGACACATGATTGCTTGCTGCCCAGACCACTTGTCTCTCCATCATTTTTCTTGAAAGCAGATTTACCAGCTTCCTTTCAGCTTCACAGGGTTTGCGAGTTTAATTTCCTTTTCTCTTGGAAAGCTTCAGTGGGGCTGGAACTGGTTGGAATGTTTCTAAGAACATTCGGGCGAAAGCTGAAGTACTCTGTTGACTGTGCCAGACACCAGCAAAGAGCTATGACTGCGGATCTGGGAGCTCTTCACCTGATCCGACTTGGTCGGCCCAACACACACGCTGGTGCTGTTACAAGTACAAGATGGCGGGGACGGGGCAGTGATCCAGCGGGGCTTGCTTGGCATGTGTGATGAAGTGGATTTTCATGTGTGAGAGAGAGAGAGCTAGAGACAGGGAGAGGAAGAGGAAGAAGAAGAGGAACAGGAAGAGAAGAGGAAGAGGAAGAAGAAGAGGTGGAGGGAGAGAGTGAGGGGCCGCCCGAAATGCTGCGCAGTATTGCCCTCATACTGTGGTCGACAAGAACATCTACCACACTGTCACCAAGGTCCAGTCACTTGGCGGAATAGTATAGTGTAAAACATGAGGAGCACTTGCAGGTTATGGTTTTGGCAAGGTTCTCTTCTGTTCTCCTGCCTTGCTCGGTTCCTGATGTTGGCTTCTGAGGCAAGTGAAGGTCCCAGTGCCCGAGCCCATGCCAACGCACGCGCCAGCCCCTTGCTGAGAAGCTTTATTCGGGGTAAACATGCATTAACGGTTGAGAGAAAGGCGCTGACCATTGCCCATCAAATTCACAAGCTGTCACAAGGGCGTCAGACTGCTGATGACCACTGGAGAGAATGTTTTTTCAGAGTTCAATCGTGGCCGAGATCATCCACACGATCCACCACAGCTACCATGTGCCGAGCCCTCCACAGTACGTGCACGTCACTGTGCCTGGCCCCACCATCACGAAACCGGTGCGGAAGCCCAGCCGGTGACGACCGATCAGGTACGACCGACTCAGGCTGAAGACTACGGCTTTTGGATCAAATTGCCACGCGGCAGTGCTTGATCAAAACTGGCACACTGCAATTCTGCTGTAGCAGAACGCTACTAGGAGCAAAGTGCATCGCTACTAGAAGCAAGGATGCCACTAGGGGCTCCTGGCCTCCCTACTAGGAGCAAGGACGCAGTGTGTTCAAACTCTGGTAGGTCGTGGTGCAGGACAAGGTCCCCTACCCTGTCAGGGAGCCTCCGCAGGCAGTGTCGGGTGACAAGTCTTGGTTTTCCTTGAGCAGATGCGTCGGCGTGTGCGTAGAAATGAAACACTCAAAATAGCAGCTGGGCCAGACTCTGGGGCTTATGGTTCAGCGACGTTTGTTGGACTCTTGCTTTTCGGGCTTTGGGCCGCGGGGCCAGGGGTGTCAGCTCCAAGCATTCTCAGCTTCTGAATAGCTATCAGACCGAGAAACGAAAGGCCCTGAATCAGGGAAATCCGGTGAATCGCGTCAATCTCCTGGCAGGTGATCAATGTGAAGAAGCCATACCCCGTTCACATTAAGGGCCCCGGCCGTGAGCCTAGTCGTTGCGCTGCGGCAGATGTTTGATTCACATGGCCATGTTGCCGAAGAAGGCTTCGAGAGGTTTCGTGGATGGCCTCGCAGTTGCATTTGACAACTTTCGAACTGAGATCACTACGTGAAAGTGCCAGTGCCATCGCCACCTCACGTGGTGACTCACTACCACACTCAGTGGAACACTGTGGTTGATCCACAGTATGAGACTTGGCTGTATGCCCTCCCAGAACTAGCAACATGCACGACAGGCAGTGCATACTAACTCTGTCTAGCAACCAAAGAGGGTGACATAGACTGGGGCGGCCACGTGGACAGAAATGTAGAGACCGTTGCATAGCTCTGAGCAGGGCGCTCAGCCTTTCTTGGAAGAGTCGTTCTCAGGACTGTGAGAATGGTGCTGACAATTGGCACAGCCTTTGGTCTCATTCCAAGATTCTTGGTGGCAACTTTGCTTTTCCTGGTGACCATGGTGGTTCCTGAGGTTTGGGATGGTTTTGTTTGCTGTTCATAAGCACCCTTTGCTGCCGTCATGCTATGCTGTTTTTGCCTTGCAGGGTTTCCTTTCCTTTACTTGTTCCCCAGATAGCGAAGCTATGGGGTTCTTACTTCAAATAACAATGAGTTGCCCGTGCGCTCTTTCGAGAAAGGTTGTTGGTGCTGGGCGCCGGTGCTGGTGCTGTGAGCTGGCTGTGCACGTGGTGGAGACAGGTTGCTGGGTGCTGGTGCCTGTGCTGGGTGCCGGGTGCCGGTGCTGGTGCCGTGCTGGTGCCGGGCACCGGTGCTGGTGCCGGGTGCCGGTGCTGGTGCTGGTGCTGGTGCTGGGTGCCGGGTGCCGGTGCTGGTGCTGGTGCCGGGAGCCGGTGCTGGTGCTGGGTGCCGGTGCTGGTGGTGTAGCTTGCATATGTGAGGGGATCTATTTTCGAATCTTTTTCCCGAAAGCATTGCGAAGGGCTCTTCCGGAAAATCCTTTGAACACTGACACTTCGCCACTTACACTTCACCACTTACACTTCGACACTCACATTTACACACGCACACACACTGGAAGAGCGAAAGCATCCAAGTGCGAAGTATGCCAGTGTCAAAGTATGCAAGTGTAATGATGAGTAGGCAAGTGTGAGCATGGAAAATGAGCATGGAAAACTAGCACGGGAGATGTCCTAATGAAAAACATTTCACCACTTTATAAATTCTCTCTTAAAGGCGGAGGGTGGGGCGAGCAGCGTCAACCGAAAATGCAACCCTCTGCGGAGATCGAGCGTGTCGAGTGCGCGAAATGCAGGCGAGAGCGCGATTCGTCCCATGTGCGCGCGACCCTCTGCGGAGATCGTGCGCGTCGAGTGCGCGAAATGCAGGTGAGAGCACGATTCGTCCGGTGTGCGCGCGACCCTCTGCGGAGATCGTGCGTGTCGAGTGCGCGAAATGCAGCCGAGAGCGTGATTCGTTTAGCAGCGGAGCAAGCTGTGGAGCTGGAAGCTGAGAACTGGCGACTTTGTAGTACAACTTTAGTGCGCGGAGTAGCTGGGGAGCTGGAAGCTGAGAACTGGCGACGTGGTAGTACAACTTTAGTACGCAGAGTAGCTGGGGACGGGGAAGATGAGAAGTGGCGACTTGGTAGTACAACGTTAGTACGCAGAGTAGCTGGGGAATGGGAAGAGGAGAACTGGCGAGTGGGTAGTAGCTGCGAACTGGCGACGGTGTAGTATATAACTGTAGTACGCGGAGTAGCTGGGGAGTGGGAAGATGAGAACTGGCGAGTGGGTAGTACAACTTGAGTACGCGGAGTATCTGGGGAGCTGGAAGATGAGCACTGGCGACTTTGTAGTACAACTGTAGTACGCGGAGTAGCTGGGGAGCTGGAAGCTGAGAATTGGCGACTTTGTAGTACAACTTTAGTACGCGGAGCAATCTGTGGAGCTGGAAGCTGAGAACTGGCGACTGTGTAGTGCAACTTTAGTACGCGGAGCAGCTGTGGAGCTGGAAGCTGAGAACTGGCGAGTTTCTAGTACAGCTTTAGTACGCGGAGCAAGTGGAGCTGGAAGCTGAGAACTGGCGACTTTGTAGTACAACTTTAGTGGAGTAGCTGGGGAGCTGGAAGATGAGAACTGGCGACTTGGTAGTACAACTTTAGTACGCAGAGTAGCTGGGGAGTGGGAAGATGAGAACTGGTGAGTGGGTAGTACAACTTGAGTACGCGGAGTATCTGTGGAGCTGGAAGATGAGCACTGGCGACTTTGTAGTACAACTGTAGTACGCGGAGTAGCTGGGGAGCTGGAAGCTGAGAACTGGCGACTTGGTAGTGCAACTTTGGTACGCGGAGTAACTGGGGAGTGGCCAGATGAGAACTGGTGACTTGGTAGTAGAATGACGTGGTAGTACAACTTTAGTGCGCGGAGTATTAGTACAACTTTAGTACGCGGAGTATCCGGGGAGCTGGAAGGTGAGAACTGGCGACTGGGTAGTACAAGTTGAGTACGCGGAGTATCTGGGGAGTTGGAAGATGAGAACTGGCGACCTGGTAGTGCAATTTTATAGTACGCGGAGCAATCTGTGGAGCTGGAAGATGAGAACTGGCGACTTTGTAGTACAACTTGAGTACGCTTCATTCCAGCTCGCTTTTTTCAGTGAGATTTCCTGGAGGCGTGCGCGCTGCTTCTCTCCTTACCAGCAGCCCAAATGCTCACGACGATGAGCTGGGCTGTCACCGCTTGGCCGCCGGTGGGGGGTTTGGGAGGCCGCATCACACACAGACACCCACGCACTGCCTCAACTTACACGAACGCACGCACACATACGCAGACTTATATACACACGGACATAGATACACACACACACACACTCGACTTAACACTTCACACTGCACACTTAACAGATAACTCGCACTCTGACTTCCGACGTGATGAAAAATGCTTTCGGGCCACTCGTCGTCTAGTTTCCAGATAGCGGAGCTATGGGGTTCTTACTTCAAGAAACAATGAGCTGCCTGCGCGCGCTTTCGAGACAGGTTGCCGGTGCTGGTGCTGGTGCTGTGAGCTGGCTGTGCACGTGGTGGAGACAGGGTACGATGGAGACAGGGTGCCGGCGCCGGGCATGGCTGTGCGCCTGTGCCGGTGCTGGTGCTGGTGCTGTGAGCTGGCGTGGTGGAGACAGGGTGCCGGTGCTGTGCCGGGTGCCGGTGCCGGTGCTGGTGCTGTGAGCTGGCCGTGCGCGTGGTGGAGACAGGGTGCCAGTGCTGGTGCTGGGCGCTGGCTGTGACAGGGTGCCGGGTGCTGTGGGCCTGGTGGAGAGAATTTGTTGTTCCCTAAATGGCGACAGCTATGGGGTTCTTATTATTTCAGCTGAGCTGGCTGTGCGCGCTTTCGAGACAGGGTGCCGGTGCTGGGTGCCGGTGCTGGGTGCTGGTGCTGGCTGCTCTGGTGCTGGTGCTGGGTGCTGTGAGCTGGTCCCGGCGCCGGGTGCAGGTGCGGGCCGCGGTGCTGGTGCTGGGTGCTGTGGGCTGTGTGCGTGGTGGAGACACGGTGCCGGTGCTGGGTGGCAGTGCGCGTGGTGGAGACAGCGGGCGCCGTTGACTGGGCGCCGGTACCGGTCCTGGGTGCTTGTGCTGGGCGCCGTGAGCTGGCGTGCTGGTGCTCGGTGCTGGTGCCGCTGGTGCCCGCTTCTGACAGTGAAGTGATAACAACCGCCGCTTCTGACAGTGAAGGGTAACAAACCGACTCTTGCAGCAGTGAAGGGCGACCAAGCGCCGCTTCTGACAATGAAGTGCCAGCAGTCATGGGCCGCGTGAACTTATGCGCGCAACATCATACGGTGTTGTCGCTTGAGCGTTCTTTGTCTATGAGCGCTGTGGGGTATTTACGCTCTTCAGGTTCTGTTTTGGCCGACAGCTGTGTCAAGGGCTGTACTGTTTGCGCGCGTGCTTTTGTACGTTCTATGCGCAATGTCAGGCTCTCCACCGACCATTGTTTCAGCAGGTTTCAGCATGCTACACACTTACAATAGTCGTGCTGGATACTGCTTGGCCGTGGGCGAGTGAAGCCTACGGGCTTTTCCGTTTGTGCGCATACGTTTGTGCGCACAATCTTATACGCGCAAGATCATACGGCCGCATTGTTCTGCAGATCGTTGCTTCAAGCATGCTACAAAGTCAATAGTGGCGCTGGATACTGCTTCAATGACGCTTACGGGCTTTGCTGTTTGCATGCATTTTTTTGAGCGCGTAAACTTATACGCGCAAGATCATACGTTGTTACTCCCCAAATAGGGATAGCCAACGGGGTTCTTGCATGCTGCAAATAAGAATGAGCTGGCTGCGCGCGCTTTCGAAAGGGTGTCGGTGCTGGCGCTGGTGTTGTGGTCCTGGGCGCTGGTGCTGTGATCTGGCTGAGCGCGCGTTTAAGACGGGCGGCGGCTGGTCGGGAGCTGGCGCCGCTGCCGGTGTTGTCAGCTGGCAAAGCGCACCGGCGCTGGTGTCAGCTGATTGCAGGCTGCGTACATTCTTGTTCCAGCCAGTTGCATGTCAACAGGTCGTGGGATTCTGCCTAGCTATCTGGGTCTATGCTGGTGTAACTTTGTTTCGCTGCAAACGCTTGCCACTACTAAATTTATCGGAGTCAAAACTAATCTGACAGTATCGTGATTCGGACAGCTTGTCTGAGTGCATCCTTTATCTCAGCTGTTTGAGTTCTTGGTTGCCTGTGTTTTTTTGTCAGTATCCACCAGGCTTTCGTGAACAGTAGCACAAGATCTATTGAACGTCTATAGTATCAGGCAGACATGGTGCTGCTCCCACAACAACGTCGGCTGCCCTGGACACTGGGTGAAGACAGTTCACGTGATCCACACTTATGTGCCTTGGCTGTAGATTTGGATTTGGAATTCACATGTGCAGTTGCAAGGTTTCATTACGTTTCATGTCAGCCTGGTTTGTGCCGGATAGATTAGTTTTCAAGCTGCTTTAGCGTGCTGAGAGCTGGATGGGTTTTTGCTTTTGAAATTTATGATATTGTACAGTATCCCTCATGCCGCCGAGACTCAGGATTGTCAAGCGGGCTTCTCCAACTGGTACCATGGCTGGTCAGACCCGAAGAAATCCTGGTGCTGCGTGGGGGCCCTGGGCGGCCCCAGTCGCTACAAGCGGGATGGTGCCTGCGTTGAAGGATCCCCGGACCTTGAGCTACATGTAGGCTTTTGAAGAGTGAAGTGAGATGAACGCAGCGTTTCAGGGCCACTTAGTGTGCAAACCCAAGGCCAACAAGCACATGGGCTGCCCTGGCACCTGGCATGGACACTGGCACGCTCATGCCGTGCCTTGCCTCATTGGAATTACTAGAAGTTGCAAGGGAAGACCCAATAAGATCCCTGTTAAGTCCGGGCCCGGGCCCTATTATATACTCTTGAACGATCAACCTGTGAGTCACAATCATTATTTCTACTGACGCTGCTAGAAGGTGATTGATTTCTTTTGGCTTGATGTAGCGTGCTGACGCTACATCATGGTGGTGATGGACACTTTGTCATGTCATCTCGGAAGACCATATCAGTGGATATCAGTGGTAGCAAGTGACTGGCTGAGGTGGTCCACGTGCATCATGTCAGTGGAGTGGGCAAGGGCGGCTACGATTGCAACGCTGGTGCCTCCAATTGGATTCAGGGATGGCTGCTCGGCGAACCAGATCCCAGATCCCTCTTCAGCGTTGGTATTCATTGGCCATACCGTAGCGCGCCGACCTCAAGCATCAGGGGATGTGATCTTTCTGAGGTCGACAAAGAAGAAGGACTGGTGCTGCAGCAATGGCCACAGCCAGTACTGCGTCAAGTTCCATTGCCATGGAGATCAAGTGCCTTTGACCAGTCTTCACAAGACTGCAGTTGATTTAGTGAAAACTCAATTAGTGCACAGAGTATGGCTAGTATGAATCAGTTGAACTGCCATGACAGGCAAATGTCAACATGTGGTCCTCAGACCAGCGTGTGGGCGCCAGAAATACTTTGTGGCACCTTATTCCTTCACATTGTAGAGAGATTCCTCATTGCGAATGATGTCTTGTATCAATCACTTTATTGTTCTCTTTCTTTCCATACGCTTTCGCTTGAGGTGACTTCTGCTGCAAGAATTTCCAGCTAGGCTGCCCACATACCACCTTGTCCCCGCTCGGCTGCGATGCCGGGATACCTGCCCGACATGGCGATACAGTTACATATCAGACATTGCTCATACATTTCCAAATCTAGGACGTCATTCTGTCCTTTGATGGCCACCATAGCGATGGCCTCCAACCTACTGTAATAGCGATGGCCTCCAAACTAATAGCGATGGCCTCCAACCTACTGTAATAGCGATGGCCTCCAACCCAATAGCGATGGCCTCCAACCTAATAGCGGTGGCCTCCGACCTAATAGCGATGGCCACCAACCTGGTAGCGATGGCC